GTCTGTAGCGAAGGGCGCTTGTTCCTTGAGCGTCTGCGGCAAAGGTCTCTACAGCGTCCCCCGAGTAAAGGGGTTTCCTTCAATAGGAGATTCCCCCTTAAGAAGGCGAAGGAAGGGCGCTGTTGCTACCCAGACAGCTCGCTGTCAGGAGGCCGACTCTTCGGGGTGTCCGGATGCCAGAAGACATCAGTGACCTGCACTTCTATCTCCCGGCCACCCCCCGTTAGGCCAAATTAGGAGGTGGTAGGTTTTAGAACATGGTTTGCGCCTGCTCTCCTGCAGTAGCAGCCAGGAGATGCTGTCGCCAGCCGACTGTTGTGGAGCTGCACCAGTTTTTCCTGACAGCTTGCTGTGTTTGGTGTTGCCCTTCCTTTCTGTGCGTCTGACTAAGCCAGTTTCACAATTTTTGGAGCGTTCTTGTGTCCTCTTCTGCTCTGTGCCCCCTCAGAAACCTGAGCGTGGGTGCATGAAAGGGCACGAACTTGATACCTGTGCTGCATAGCCCTGGATACGAGCTACCCACTCTGCACCCTGTCATAAGTGCTTTAATCGCTCTGCTTTTTCTCCCAAATTTGGATTGAGGTTGAGTATCTTACTCTAAATCGGTGTTTGTCAACTTCATCGGGTGTGTCATCCTTGTTACAACTCCCCTGTCCTTTTTCAAGAGAGATGCACCACATCAGGAGAAAATGTCCTATTTTAAGAGCATTAACAGCCTTTAAGATGGGTTTTGTTTTGTTGTGTAGCACACACCCCCTGCCCCCCCCTTTTCCTCCACGCGTTGATCTCGGCTGCTGACAAAAACCAGTCTCTGTATGCCTGAATGTCTTCAGTAAAGGACTCCAGCAGTACTGGAATGGATGTGTTTCCTTCAATATAAGATACGGGTTTAAAAAGAAGAAAACCCTTTCTCCTGACAGGTTTAATTTATCAGTCCATAGCCAAAATCCAGGGGCTGATACGGGCAGACCTACGCAGCTTCCCGCCCCGTAAGCCTACGCCGCAGGCAGCGGTTCCTGCCCGCGCGGCCGTCCTGCGTTGGCGCTCTGCGGCTGGAGCGCTTCGCGCAAGGGGGAGTTTGTCCCGTCCCGGGGAACAGAGCTACGAGACCCGGCTTCTGCCCTCGGCCCAGCTTCCGACTCTACCCTCGGGCAGACCTTCAACGTGGCTTTAATCTTCCTAAAACCTACCCGGGTGACTTACTCCCTGGCTTTGAAAGTTCCTTCTCCAGGGCCTGAAATAAGCGAGTCTGTTCGAATAGATTTCTCTGTCCCCGGCTTTCCGTTACCGAGATCCATCTCGACAACCGAATCGCGCCGATCCGAAGAGACCGCCCAGCACACGAGGACGTCGGGGCGTTGCTCAGCTCTGCCTTCCGAACGCC